TAACCTAGGCCTTTGTTGTTGTTGTCCATTTTAGTTTGGTTGGTTTCCACAAAGAGGATACAGCTACTGTGCTAACACATTGCCTTTAGTCACGACATGTAGGCTCAACATTGCGACATGCAGAGAGACTGACAAATCACTAGAACACGCATTCATGCTAAACACATGGATTCTTCACAGGAATGAAGAAAAAATAACTCTTGGCGACAACTGAGAGCGCAGATAATCTGATAATTGGTCCTGTCTGCTATAGTATCTATTTTCTGCAAATCCAGTTTGTTGAGTATCCAAGACTATATTAGAATGTGCTCAGTATAGTACATTAGGTGCTTTCTCACTCCACTTAGAACTCTTAAAATGTGCTTTCTGTGAAGGACTGTAGCTGAACTAGAAAGATACCTTCAGTATACCTGTACAGTTTGGAGAAGAGCAGTTCTGATCTGTTAAGTGACAATGGCCTAGTTTACCTAGACCCTGAAGCCGGCCCATTGATTTAGGTGTGAGATGGTGTCTGAGGGACCTGAGAGAGATGAATAAATATAGAGATGTACAGTAAGCTACAGAAAACTCAACCTGCAGCACTAGACTACATCATGGCCTGTGTAACTTGTTTAATGGATGTGTATTTTAAGTTTAAAAATGATTTGTTCTTTTCGGATCTTCCAGTTGGAAATTGCCTGTTGTGTATGCACTCAACGTATCGCTGCAGCTCTCACGCCAAGCTCCTAGGTGCCTGACAGGCTGGTGCATAGCAGGCTGTGGATACCAGGGTCCAAGCAAAGCCAGCCAGCTAGCTCCGGTCAAGCTCAGCCAGTCACGTCATGCAGAGACTTCTGGTCACAGTTTGCTGTTGATGGACCTCAGAAGCAGGCTGGTTATGTTTGAGCCGGTGTGTTGACAATGTAATCCAGTTGTAAGTTATTTCTTGTTTTATCTGTTTTTTAATTGGTATTAGTCGGTAGCAGCTACTCTTGCGACAGGAGTTTGTAGGACATTGCTTTATTGAATGTCATGTTTTAAATAACTTGAAGCTCTGAGTTTAAAGAGGAACAAATCTGAATCAAGGAGTTGCCTGTTTGAACTACTTAAAATAATCTGCATTTTGTCAGGCATTCGGTCCTTGGACCAGATATCTTTTTATCTGTATCTGATCACAGTAATGGCTCCAGTATTATTTTTTAGAATAACAAGGTGTACTTTATGTTGGAAGGGAAATGTTAAAACCTGTTGCTAATTTCTTTACAGAATGCTACTAAAACTCTTCAACACACATTTCCAATTAGCTGGCTCTGGAAGGTTTTTTTGTTTCTTTAACACATGGCAACTTCAATTGTTCTTTCATTAGCAAGCCTGTCTTTGACATATTGTTCTACACATTTCAGTTTATTTTTTCATCTATTTTAACACAGCTTCCATCTACAAATTTTGGAACATAAAATAGTCGTCTAACTGAAAGAAGTCCTGTGTCTGGAAATGCTTTCATCAGATTAAGTAATGTTGAAGTCATCTAAAGAAATTACTTTTGGCTTTGCAGTGCTTCTTTCTTAGAAAGGTTCTGATGAATTCATATTGGTTTCTTGAAATTGCTAATCGTGCATACGTGTATTTCCTCGCACAAATAGATTTGCACAAACACGCACTGTAATTAATCGCTGTCATGTCCTCTTCCCCGTCAGTTTGTTTTGATAAACACACTGGTGCTGTGAGGGGCCTGTGGTTGCTGGTGTCTCACTGAGCCCCTGTGTCTGGATTAGGCTGGCTGCAGGATCTAGTGCTATGCTTATGTATTTTACTAATTAAACTGCAAATGATTTCCAATGCAAATAAGATGTGACCTGTGGATTAGCTTGCATTATACTGCATTAATGTTGCAGCAAAGCATCTCTTTTTGTAGAAAACGTTTTTTGGTTTGCAGTATTTATTTCACGGCTGTGTTCGTGATATCCGGGACATCTGTGTGTCTTGAGTTGGGCAAACATTCTGAAATTCATTATTTGGAAATGAAAGGAAAAAGCACTAATAACCTAAGGTGTCAGTTACAGGGAGCACCCTGGATCCCCGTCCCAGTAAAACAAACATTTCCACTTCCGTGCCTGCTGTGGAGAGTGGTTTCCAAGCACAGGGCTAGCAGTGTCCCTTCTTAAAGACCTCTTTGGTCAGATAGTGGATACACTACTGCTTAATGCAGTGGGACCATGGTCACAGTGCTGGAGTCTGGGCTAAAATAGTGAATTATATCATAAAGCCTTTTAATACAAGTTCTGAAAAGCAGTAATAAAAGTACAGTACCCAGGCAATTCTATTAATCTTGTTCTTGACAATAACGAATTGGGAGGTCACATCCCCTAGAAAAGTTGTGCCCTGCTTGCTCTCAATTTGGGTGGTGAGTAGTTGAGACTGTCGTATTCTGGATGTCAGGAGCCCGTTCTGGCCTGGCCTGTGGACTGTGAAGCTCCCCAGCCATCACTGCTGTTATTGCTCTCTTGAGATGAAAAAATAGGAGGACTTATGAGATGGATCCTAGACTGGGCTTGCATTTTATTCTATGCCTTTTGGCTCCATATACTTTTTTGTGCTATTAGTGTGGTCAGTCAGTTTTTTTCACATACTGTTCAGTGTTGTAGGCATTAAAGTCATTATTATTGCCCACAAGTTTTTTCCATCTTCCCCCACATTTGGACTGGCCCTTGAAAGGCAGCTTCTCAGCAGGGTATGCGCTGTCTCCTTTGGACTTGTGGAAGGAGGAGGTGAAGAGACACTGTCTCCAGTGCTGTCTTTAAGGGGATGAGGTGGGTACTGATGCTAAGAATAGAATCAAGTACAGCATGCAAGCTCCAGTGCCAAGCATTACATTAGTAGTCTGCTCTAGGCATTTACACATGCATGAAGTCGCTCAGTCTTTTCTGCTTTAAACTCCTTCCATGGGGTAAGCAGTTCAATTTTCCATTGCATTTTTTCTGCACCTAGATAGTCTTGGCTGTCCCCATATTGCATTTGTTTTAGACAGAGCCACACTAAATGGTAACCTTGCTTTCAGTTTTCATTTGGAGAGCATCCCTTAATGAGAGTGAAAAAGGATCTATTCTGGAATTACAGTATACTAAGATGATGTTTTTTTGTTGATTTTATTTTGCCTGACTAACTGCATCACTGTGTCTTAAGCCACTACTGGATGACTGTGTTAAATAATTCAAATTCTGGAACAGTTTTCCGAATCTGTCATCCATACTGCAAAAATATGGCAGTTTCAGAGGAGTGAATCATAGAGGAGTCTGGCGATCATCAGTGTGAGGATGCACCTGCCTTTGAGATTTCGAGGCTGTCTGTTTAAGTTATCAGGACATTTAAGAGACCCTCTTTTCTCAGACAGGCTTTTCACAACATTCTCTTTAACAGCATCTGAAGCATCTACTAAGCATCACAAGAACTGCAAAGAAATTCAACCCATCAGTTCTTCTCTTGGTCTTAGTTACTAAGCTTAAGTCACCATCTTTTCTACAATAAATGCAATAGCATTCCTAAAGTACCTTAACGTCATAATACCCTTTGTTTTATTGTTGTCTGCCAAGACTGCTGTCTTGGCCAGATGTTATCTGAAGTAGCACATACTGTATGCTGTTTAGCCCTTATCTCTTGGAGTCTGAAGTGAGTAAAAGAAGTGAGCGTTTGAAAAGCTTCAGTAAAAACACTACAAAGGCACTTCAGTTGTTCGTTGAGATCAGTTCACTCAGCCTTTTCAGGTACGTCTTTTCTGGACTGCTTCATTTATAATCTTTTTCATTTCTACTGCCAAGACCATTGTTTTCCTCTTGTTTTCTCACGGTTATATACAGACAGCTGCAGTGCCATTTGCTTTGATTACTTCTAACTGTGAATACAGCTATGTGGTGGCTAGTAGTAATAATGGTTGGAGTATTATCATAGTAATCATAGTACTAAGGAGGTTGGGGCTTTGTGGTGGACTCAGTAAAATTCAGAATGAGAAGACAAGGTCAGGTCTATCAACCTTATCCATAGAACTGCAAATTTGAGTTACTTGCTTTAGTCTCCAGTCTCCATGGAGGATTTGTTTAGTCAGGTTAAATTTGTGGTTGTGAAATTGTGGTAAAACAGCCGCCTTTTCACAATTAAGATTTCATTTTTTTTATGGTCCTGAAGGTCTTAATGAAAATCTGCTTTTAAAAATATACAAACCTACTTTCTGAAACTGTGGCGTCAGAGCTGTATGAAGGAAATTCTATTTGGAGTGAGAAGAACTGGTAAGACTACGGCAGCCACAGAAAAAAAAAAACTCTATCTGCCGGGGAAACTACCGTGAACCCAAGGACATGAAATAAATCTGGTCACCAGTGATTGTCCATGGAAAACACTACAGGGCCCTCAGTGCTCCCGAAACTCCTTCAGATTCTTCAGAACATCAACAGGAGTCTGTTATGGCTAATGTCCCCTCCCTGGAGTTTTGTTTAGAATAGTGCCTCCTTCGGTCTCAAGCCCCAACATGTTTAAGGGGGGGATCATTCAGCTTGTTCTGAAGTCTGCCATTTAGGAAAAAGACTTTTTTTTTTGCTGCCCTTGTCTAAACTAGGAGCTTTATTCTATGACTTTAAAAAAGTTTAAGTCATGAAAGTTCTCTCCCTCAAGAGCAGACAAGAGTGACTTCAGCTGTAAAACTCATTTTAATACTGACCATACATAATTAATCTTCTAATTCTGGTTCTAGCCACAATGAAGAACATGTGTTCATCGGGGTGGAATAAATGGAGCCCCGATTTACTGAGCTTATGTACTACTGTTTAAGTCCCATTGGTTCTGGAGAAACCGAAAGAAGAAGAAAGTTTAGTCTGTTCTTGAATAGGTCGTTTTTTTCGTACTCACATTCAGTCTTTCTAAATGAAATGACCCATTTTTATCATTTTTAAAGGCAATCTTAACGCACCGCAGACTCTGTTTAAAAGCTCCTGGAATCCTAACGCGTACTGTACGTCTCTCCCGACACCCACCTTGCCTCCAGCCCAGGTCCGAAAGAGTCGGGTCCGCTCCCGCCTTCAGTCTGCGGCTCCAGGCGCCGTGAGCTTGCTCCCGAGTGGCATGTGTGCTAGTCGCATGCTGTCCCCAAATCCATCGAGTGCGGCGTTTCAGGACAACATCGGCAAGGCTTGTGGAAAAACCCCAATCCAGAGCCAAGTGAAGGTTTTCTCAGGGGTGCCTGTCCTGCGGCGGGGCTGTGACTGTTCCCTGGCGATGGCCTTATCGCGGCGCGGCGCTGGGCACAGTGCAGGACAGCAGCCGGTGCTGGAGAGTGACCGGGGCTTTCTGGGATTCCTGTGTTGTCTCAGGCTGGGAGCAGAGGGTGGGTGGGTTTAACTGTCCAGCCCACCTCTGATGTCACCGCTTCTGACATCGCTCCTGGAGGAGACTAAACAACAAACTCCTCCTCGAGTTTCACATCGCAAATTCCTGCTCGAAGAAAAAAAGAATCGGAGAGGGAAAGGAGAAGAAAAGAAAGCCTCAAGAGTTTTTCACAAGGAGGGCCTGTGCTGAGGGAGGGAGACTGTGGGGACTGTTTTCTTTACTGGGCGGGTGAGAACTGAAAGCTCCTGGAAGGTCACCACTGGAAGCCCTTGGCTACAGCCTGTACAGGCTTGCTTTGAGCGCGCGCACGCACACACACACACACGTGCCCTCACACAATGATGAATGCGTCTCCTTTTCCTTATCTATAGTGCAGCTTGGCACCATTATTGCTTTTAATCCCATAAGGCTTCACGAACATCACCTGGAAAGTGTTCGTCCTGTCTCGCAAGACTTGCCTTCCTTACTGGGTTGATGTTAAAATGAGGCGCGTCTCATTTGTAAAGGTTTTCTAGACGCTGTTTTACATGTACAGTAAGTCCAGGAGGCTTTGGTATGGCTCTGTTCCATGTGAAGGTCTGTTAGCCATTGCAGATTTGTTTGTGTGTGAAAACAGGGAAACGCATACAGCAGACGCAGCCTTTGATGTTTACAGGATCTGTACACAATAAGTCTCACAGGAGGTGACCCCGTCTTTTTTTAGGCTTTTATTTTTTGCATGTAAATGCCAGAAAAAAAATTGGTCCTAAAAAATATTTTTTATGGGTGACCTTTTTTGACAAATAGTTTTGTTGTTGTTTTAGTTTTTTCCCCGCTCCTTTTCTTTCCACTCGCATTCTGCATTCCAGTATATACGTTTTTTACTGTAGAAACATCCCAAAAGAACTCCGCGCCAAAACTGACAGATCCTATTAACAATAATCAGTTTCTATCAGTCCATCTGATTTTACCCCAGGGGTCGCAGGCAATCCAAATAGATGTGCCTCAGGTATTTAAAATGTTTGATCTCATTTTGCTAAACCTGTATATTTTAATGTATGATGTTTAAATAAGAAAAACTGAATGACTTTACCATTCTAATTTGTTTAATAGCCTTTGTGCACTGTGCACAAAGAATGGGCCCAACAGTTTGGTCTCCTCCTTAACTCTTCCTGCAGGTGTCAGTAGAGAGCTGGTTTGGGCCGTGCTGGGCGTGGAAACTAGGCCCGAAAGGTTGCATCCCTCAAGACAATGCCCACAAATGCCTACACGTTGACAACAAAATAAATATACCCCAAAAAAAAACGCTGAAGTGACTCACAGTTTGCCAGAAACGCGCGCTTCCTCATGTTGTGACTTTGTTTTCCGACAAGGGCTGGGCTGCATCATTCAGGGGCTCGTGTTACTCGCAGGACGAATTCCCAGAAATCTGCAAGATGTCAGTCCCTGGCCCCAGTCCCAGGAGCTCTGCGGCAGCGGCTCCGGCTGAACTGTGAGCCTTGGGTCATCCGAGCACTTCCCGGGCCTCTGAACGCTTTCCAAGCCACCAGAAAGTCACCACAGTCATCTGCGTGGTTTGGACACCACAGAATTATATCTCCCCTCCTGGAGAGCTTTACTTTCTCCACTCATATCGCTGGCTGCAGAGTGGTGAAACGCAAGCTGCGGGACAGGTTGTCTTTCAGCCTTGTTTGTGCACAGCTGAAAGCTGATCTGAAAATATTTAATGCTATGTACTGTATATGTTTGTACATTATGTAATGTATACAGTTACTTAGTAACTATATGTGGACTTGTAGTAATAATAATAATAATAATAATAATTGCTTACATTTATATAGCTCTTTTCTGGACACTCCACTCAAAGCGCTTTACAGGTAATGGGGACTCCCCTCCATCACCCCCAGTGTGCAGCCCCACCTGGATGATGCGACGGCAGCCATAGTGCGCCAGAATGCTCACCACACACCAGCTTTTAGTGGGGAGGAGAACAGAGTGATGAAGCCAATTCGTTGAGGGGGATTATTAGGAGGCCATGATTCGTAAGGGCCAATGGGAAATTTGGCCAGGACGCCGGAGTAACACTCCTATTCTTTTCGAGAAACGTCCTGGGATTTTTAATAACCACAGAGTCAGGACCTCGGTTTTACATCTCATCCGAAGGACGACGCATTTTTTACAGCATAGTGTCCCCCTCACTATACTGGGGCATTAGGACCCACATAGACCACAGGGTGAGCGCCCCCTACTGACCCCACTAAGACCTGTTTCAGCAGCAACCTTTAAACCTCGTCTCCCATCCAGGCTCACACCTGCACTTTATAGCTGGGATTTCAAATGATTCTGACTAATTTTGGAGTCATAAGAACATATTTAACTCCGTTTTAGACCGAGCATCATATCTGCAGCTAGAGAATTGTCATAGATTAACCTTTTTAGTTTTTTTAAATTCATTTTCAAGTTCATACACCATCCATCATTAAAGAGCAATAAGATGAAGAGAACAAAAACGATCACTGTGGAAGGAAATGGTATCCAATATCATAAAGATACAGACAGAGATCTCCATGCCCAATCGCCTTCCAGCTCTCGTTACAGCCGTCCTGTCTCCTCTTCAGTCAACCTCCCCATCCAGCATAACTCCCCTCCTCCCTTAGTTTGTAGAGGGATGTTTGCAAACATTAAGATTTACATGGGTAGGTAATTTACGCCGTGTCTTTTATGGATAGCAATTTTCTGCCTCATGGTTGCCTTCTACTAAAAGAGGTTTTTCTTCAAATTAATGCACAGTCCTCTGCCTCAAGTATCTGTATTTATATTCCCGAGGCTGTGCTTATTCCTTACTGTATACATAGGAAGTGGTTTTGACATGTACTGTATATATACTGTATAAGAAGAAAAATTTGGATATTTGAAATGGCCCTATCTTTTGTGGTGTGTATATTGTTTAATTTTTGATCACCCAGTGGACAGTCTCGTTTTTTATTTGTGCTTTGCCTGTACGCCATCTTTGTTCACACTGAATGTTTTGTCAGCTGGTACGCCTTGCACACCAGCTAGTCTTAACAGCAGATAAAAGAGCAGACGAAGTTCAAACCTTTTTCGTTTCCCTCAGAGTGAGTCTGTGTCTTTCAGTGACTTCATATATCATGTCCGTGGCCATACACTCTGAAAAGGTTTGTTTATTCTTAAACACGGAAAGTCATTTTTTCAAACCAGGCAGCAAATTGAAAATTAGCTTATGCAGTTCAGTAATTCATAATCGGCTTCTTGTGCAAGAAAGATTATTTTTGATGATTCAAGTGCTGCTTGTGTGATTCTGACATGCATATTAAGCTCTTGAAGGCATTATGTTTTAATTACCCTTCTCCTTAACGAGGGAGCTGCTTAAGTAATGATCTCATTTCTGCTCAGCAGTGCTCTCCTCTGCCCAGTCTGGAGGCTCAGACAGTGCTTCATTCTCAAACCCCATCTGCTTCTTTCACAGAGTTTCAATCCCTTTCACTGTTTAATTCCTCCAATTAGCAAGCCTTTCAATTCTGTCTTCAATTAGGGTAATTGTACTGTTTAACAATCGCTGGGCAAGGTTTTTAGCGTGACTTGGCAGCTCTTGCACATTGTTGTTGTTGTTTTAGAATGATTTATTTGTAACTACAGAAGACGCCAACTGCAATGTTGCTCTGTGTTTCAGATGTGCCTTGTAGCTGCTTTGGGAGCCTGTGTTATCTCCCACTGCAGTCAGTCAACACATCTCCACCCCTCCGTAAATACAGTTCAGCTTTAAATCTCAGCCCTGCAGGTTTGAGGGCACTACTGTATTACTGGTCTTGGAGTCCTCTATGTCTAGCATGTCACATATTGCATGAAGCTACCACTTACCCGACTTACGGTCTTCCTGCTCAGGCACTGTTAAAGTGTGAGAGTTTAAGTAAAAAAAATTATATTAGGAAATTATTCTTTGGGTGGAAATACACAATATCCAATAATATAAAAAAGTGCTGTTTGATTTCAGTGGGGGAGAAGACGAGTGAATTTGTTGGGAATCAAGCAGGGAAACAAGTTATGTATTCTTATTACTGTCCAGTTTTTCTCAGTTTTGAATGAACCAGCTTAACATCATCCGTATGCTAAATTCTGCCGAAAAAGGGAAAATGCATTTATAAATATAACTTTTTAATGAAAGTTCATGTTTGAACTATTGTAGATGTTGCCATCGACACACCCCTTGACGTCTGAATGGTAGATGTCAGAGTTATCTTTGATTAGCTGATAAAAAAAAAGTCTTTATGTGTGAAAATGAAGTAGTGTGCTTCAGGCAGCCCTTGAGCTTCAGCATTGCCCTTGACCCTCTCTGGTTTCACCTGCTCGCTCCAAAGGGCCCTGTTTTCAATCGGCGCTCTTGGTCAGGACTCTTGAGACGTGCTACAGAGCAGAGAGTGACTTCTCAGTTACTTCTGATCTTGTGGCTCAGAGAAGCTGGGCTAAAGAGAGTCCGGCCCTGCTGTGTACTTATCTCGGGGTTGCGCACAACTGGTGATGCAAAGAGTCGATCCACTGTTCTGTTAACCCATTTGCCAAAAACTGCCAGTGAAAAAAGTTACATGGTATTATGTTACTTTCTTAAAGCAGAGAGCTCACTCTTAAAGAGTGAGCGCTTATAGCAGAGTGCTACATAAACATGTAGCCCTGGATATAAGCCAAAGTTTAAGATGATTTCTGCATTCTACAGACTTGCGCTTGTGCATTGATTTCACCACAGTTTTACAGTGCTGACTTATGCCTAAAACAGGACAAAGCACTATCTTTTACCTGGCCTAGACTCACTGCTTCAGCGCTTGTCCAGCCCTGTACAAGCAGGAGCTATTTAACCCTCCTATCCAAAGTCATCCGGGAGCTGGGGAGGGGCTCTCAGTGCAGTGTGGGCTTATTTGTATTCCTGCTTTTCATTTGCAGGGTCTCTCTGTACTAACTGACCTGATGAGGGTGCTGTCAGTGTGGATGCAGGGGCTATGGGTAGCAGGA